TACATGAGAGAATGTGCACATAAAGGCCACTTTGTACACTCCATGACAGACATGAAAAGAATGATTCTCACTGAGGACACACATACTGCCACTTGTCTTGACCCCAAAAACAAGCTATGGAGTTGGTGAACTTCTGTCAATAACTTCCAGAAAAGGAAGGCATAGCTCTTTTCCAAGGAAGTCCATGGTTTTGCCTGAGGTTGAAGAATAAATAACAGAATAAGTAAGCACAGAGGTTGGGATGTGGACCTAAGGGAGGTGATGACCAAGTCTGAGGTTTTTCTCCAGTTAGGAAGATTATCACAGAGGATTAGAGTCACTGGGATGTAAGAGGAAAGTAGCCGTTTTATGGCTGGGGAAACAAGGGGATTCACCCATGCATCAACTCCTAGCTATTAAGGATCTACATAAACCCCTTGACCAAGGCAATCTCTGACCCCATGTTTATTTTAAAAGAATACTGAACATTTTTTCCATGTTAAAATCTTTGCCCATAATACTCTTCACAGCATAGGGCCAGCCAATAGGACAGGAGGCTGATAGGAGATGATATTTTACTCTTTGCTTCTAATCTTACTGTTCTTATAGCCATTAAGTCTTTATATGGGCAGGGATGGAATCCACTGCTTTGTGGATTTGGAAGGAATTCCCATCATGCTAATTCCAGAACCTGAGGTACATCTGAAAAAGAGGTCAATGTGATTCGATTTTTCCCACTCTCCTGCCACAGAAGAGTGTCTGCTTTCTCCATAACTTCTGCTGATCTCCACCACCACCAGTCTGTTGTTATGGGCACATTCAAACTGAAGCAAGGGAACCCCATCGGCCTAGGCTTCCCTTGTTATTTGACACAAACCTGACATTTGGCAGAGCAGGAGGATTAGGTTTTCAGCTCTGAGTGCCGCCCCTGACTGTCACCCGTGCCCTCTGACCAGAAGCAGATTCTGGATGGAGCCAGCCGGCCTCCAGGACTGGCCATAAAGGGAAAGTAGGAAACAGGTTATTGTTGTTGTTTAATTTAAGTTGTATAGCTTTTCCAGAAATGAGTCTATTAAAATGAATGATTCACTTGTCTTTATTTGTATTTATTTTTTCCCATCACCATTTATCCTCCATACCCTCTTCCACCTCCACCCACTCCCCCCTCCACCCCAAACACCACAATGTGGAATGTGTTGATTCACTTTTCCTCTGTGGTCTTTGCTTTGACTTTTTTCCATGAGGACTCTGGCACTTCATGGTAGGTATACAGCCCCACTTAGGAGCTCACATCTCACACCACCCCTCTTCTCCCACCCCCAGCTGACATGCAAGGGCAACTGGTTAGGAAGGACAGGTCCTTTTGCAAAGAGCAGAGGAGCAACAGTCATGAGACTTGGGTTGTAGTTCATTAACTACAAGGAAAGAGCAGGAAATCAGAATCCAGAGTATTTGGATTGGTATTTCTTTCCTGATTTTATTTCCACCAGATACAGGGTCTTGGCTAAGTCATTTCACCATTCTTTGAATCTGTTTACTCATTCTATATAATAAAGATATAATATGCAAATTGGCCATCACTGCAACACACAAGATGGCTGCCCCCAAATGGACACAAGATGGCCACCACAAGATGGCCAGCAGATGAGGGCAGTTGTGGGCAACCAGCTGCTGCCCATAGGAAAGGGCAGTTGGGGGCAACCAGGCTGGTAAGGGAGGCAGGGGTGACTGGACCAGCAGGGGAAGGCAGTTAGGGGCAATGGGGCCAGCAGGGGAGCAGGTAGGCGTTGATAAGACTGGCAGGGTGATTAGGCTGGCAGGCAGAAGCAGTTAGGGGCAATCAGGCAGGCAGGCAGGAGAGCAGTTTGGAGCCAGCAGTCCTGGATTGTGAAAGGAATGTCTGACTGCCCATTTAGGCCAGATCTCGGTGAAATCGGGCCTAAACGGGACCTTGGACATCCCTCGAGGGGTCCCAGATTGGAGAGGGTGCTGGCTAGGCTGAGGGACACAACCCCCCAACCCCTCTAGTTTATAATAAAAATAATTGACATTTATTGAATATATGGTAGGTGCTGGGCACTGAGTTACTTTACATACATTAACTCCTTTAATTCTAAAAACCTTAATAAGTAGGCATATAATCTCCATTTAAGAGATGAGCCTGCTGAGACTCAATGAGGCTCAACTTGCTACTGTTCCACAGCAGGGGATCTCAGATGTGCACCAGAGCTTATGCCTTTAACCACATCCTAAACTAATAACCAGAAGAATACCTAGCTCTTGGGGACCCTGAGGAGGATAAAATGCTTGAACATGGGTTACATGTTTTTATGGCAGACAGCAGGACCTGACGAAAGATCATTTATTCCAGTACTAGTGTTTGCTTGCGTGGTCTTTCTCAGAACTACAGGAAAGCACTATCCAAACCTATTTTGCTCATGTTGCATGGGATGGGGCAGCAATGATATTGCTTATCCCACAACCAAGACCATAGCACATGACTATTTCAAGGAAACCGGGGAGGCCAGGGAACATTTATAATTTAAACATTGACATGACATGAAGAAACAGGCCAGTCACAATGAAGCTCTTAAAAACAGAGTGTTCATGGAAATGTCTTGGAAAACAGTAGGAAAGAGCTGCTGCCCAGGAGATTCACTAAAGGAAGCATGGAACTTGCTAAAGCTTCTTTAGCACCCTGGGTTCATCTGGCCTGCTGTTACAAAGCGCATTCCCACAAATGACAGCATTTGATTCTTAGGGAAATCCCCACCAGGGCATTCAAACACCACTTTCATTTTACAGATGAAGAAAAAGGAGGCTAGAGAAACCGGAGATTTGCCTCATTCACATAGTCAGTAGGTGCCAGGGCCTCTGAAAAGTGTCTCCACAGCGCTGTGTCCGGGAGCATCTCACTAGGCAAGCCAGTCATAATCACATGTGCTATTCTTATCATCATCACTTCCTGGTTATAGTTGGCCTCCCAAAAGCATTCAATTAACTGATCCTCCAACAGTCAAAATCAACTGTTCAGACCTTGATTCAATTATTTGCCTTCTATCACAAACATTTTTCCCAGGAAAAACCATCCTTCCTTGAGAATTCAACCCCACACTGTCAATTATGAACAAATAGTAAAATCAGATTTTAAATTCTTCATTTTCTGAACACAAAGATCCTTAAGTCCACCTTTTGAGAAACTACTGCAGTTGCCAAATAAACTGTTTTTCTTTTAAAGGTTGGAAAGAATTCTACTAGCCTCCCTTCCCCCTTCCCAATTTCAAACTGTTGATTGTGTGCCTGGTTTATGATGTTATTAAAAAACAAAGAGGGGTCTCAAAATTTACAATCAACCCCCAGAGTGGGGAAGTCAAAAGAAAAACTTTATGAAATGTGGTTCATATACCATCAGCAGCTTACATTGGATCCAAAATAGGCAAGATTAGCCAACTGCCTATCCCCTTGAGCAGTTCATTTGGAATAGACAACCTCCATTCCAAAATCAAGTCTGCAAGATGGAAAGAGGGTTTTGAAATAAGCCAGGTATAGGAACGAACCCCAATTTGTATGAGCTGCAGACTTTGAGCTCATCATTTAACCCTTTAGACCTTCTGATTTTCCATTTGTATAATGAGGATAATGGCACTTATTTCACATGTAGTATTTTTAATATTAACTTCCTTTTTCTTGGCTTGCTCCAACAGGCCAAAGATAAGCTCCCAGGCTATGGCTAAGACACAGATGACTCAAGAATCTGTGAGAAAGAATTTATGATCTTGGCTGACATGATGTTTATTTATGGGTTTTATCCACATGGCTAAGGTTCAGGAGCAAAGAACAAACTTAGAGGAATACTGGAGATGTGGAATGGACAGCTGTGAAAAATGTATGACTCACAAATTATGAGACTGAATCACAATCAATTACTCTTTCCCTCCCATGCTCCAACTGGAGAGATCTAAAACTCAATGGTCATCTTCCAAGTAGAGCCTAGATAGGCCATATCCCAATTTGCATGAAGCTACCATTGCTCAAGATAATTGTTAAATCTTGTTTAAGGATGCACTCTCTGCATCCTCAATGAGGACTTTGTCCTCCATGGGACGATCCACATGTAAGTCTGAACTTTACACTTGCATACGAGTAACCTGTTCAGCAGTTAAGAGTTTGCAACGTATTTCAATATTCCTAATTTCTTTTACCCCTCCATGCTATGCTATAAACCAAGATGATCATCCTTGGTTTTAAAGATGTAGCTCGTTGGTAGAGGGCCATGTCTAACACCGAGGTCTCTAGATTCCAAGTCTCATCTTATTTTCACTCTGATACCACAGCCATTGGCTGAGAGAACTGAACAATATGTCAGAAAATGCCAGCAGCACTGTCCCTGTAACAGCAGCACAGCGATGACACAGAAGAAACCCAGAAAATGCCTGTGGTATCTGACAAGGCATTCCCTCCTCCTCTGAGAATCAGAGCTCAGACTCTGGATTAAGGGACAATTACATTAAAATCCCAACCCTACCACTTATTAACCAAGTGATCTTAGGCAAATTACTTTTACTCTGTGGACCTCAGTTTCTTATTATGTAGGAGAAAGATAAGAACAATATCGAGACTTCATTGGATTGTTGTGAGGATGCTGTATTTTAGCAGGGTGTTTAGCATACTTTTGTAATATGTTTAGTATACAGTAAGTTCTCACCATAGATTCCGTGATTTTCAGCAAAATGACATAAATAAATTTTACCACAGGCTCATTGATGTAAACAAGAATTCATTCCTATGGCATCGCACCAATGCTATAATGAAAAGATGCTGAACGAAATTGTTATTGGAAGAGCTGCTGCATATGTATGTGTGTATGTATTTAGTATTTTAAAATACCTTTAATAATGGTATTAACTGCATTAAAGAAATAGTGCTAATCAAATGAAATTGTGATTGATCTGCCAAGTCTCTGCTGACACAGGTATTTATGGCGGAAGTGAGACGGTGAGCACAGTGGTCTGGACACTTACCGCAAGAATGGCGATGACAATCCCCACAGCACAGAGCACAGCATCGTTTATTGTCTCACCAGTTTTCAGAGGATACTTGATGCTGTCATCGTTGCAATAGAACCCTCGGTGGTAAGGCTTGATGGTGCTGGTCTCGATGATCAGGAAGGGCAGGCCCGCTGGTCAGGATGGAACCATCGCACATACCAGGAAAAACAAAACAAAGCGAGGGGAAAACATCAGTGCAATGTGGTTAAAGAATGACTACAGCAAAGACCACCCCAAATGACAACACTGACAGTGATATTAACTCCTTAAGAACTTCTTCTCCACACATCCCCTCTCCTCTTTCCCTTATCCCTCGTGTCTAAGGGCACAGGGGCAGGCAGTGGGAGAGCCAGAGTGGCACGTCCCCACTGCTCTACAGCATCCTGATAAAAGTTAACCTCCAATTTGTACTAATGACTAACACAGCCCACATCTAATGATGTTTCATTATGCCTTCAAGTACATTCTTAACCATTTCCCCTTTGAGAAAAGTGCATCCTAAAGGCTGTGGAGCATGGAGCCGTGAAGGCCTGGGGTCAGATACCTTGAATTTGAACCGCAGATCCACCACTTCCCAGTAGTAGGACTTCTGGTTCTCACGCTACCTTCCTGGGCCTCCATTTGCCCATACTTCAAAGGCCTATGGTGATGACTAAGGGAGGAAAAGGCACAGGGAATTGCTAGCACAGTGCCTGGCACACAGTAGCTGTTCAATGAATACCACTTTCTGTCCTTTTCTTTCACTGCTCAAAGAGTCATTGAGAAGATGGAGCAGAGCTGAGCTGGCCCCACTGCATGCGGGCCTGGAGCAGCGCCCAAGAGCACCTGAGAGCGCCAAGCTGCTAGTGCAGCTGCTGCCGTTTAATCAGTGGCCAGCTCAGATGCTGTTCTCTTAAAGGTCATGGCAAATGGATGCCATCACCTGCCAGGAAAAAGTTCCTCATAGCCCTAAAGAAAAGGGTGAAAGGTCACAATATTTCTTGCCTCAACACAGCAACAGCCTCTAAATCAGTCCCCTGGCCTTCACTGCCTCTTACACATTGCCTCGCTAAAGCCTCTTCAGACGTTCCTCGTTGCACAGGACAAGATAAAGGATGGCCTGCAGTTACCCATGACCTGAGCCTTCCTTCTTCAGACTCAGGGTCTCCTGCCCCACTCCCAGAGACTTTTATCCTGCGGCAGGCTCTTTTCTGAGACCAGAAGACCTATTTCTCCCCTAGCACCCAAGTTCCACACCAAGACCCAATGCCACCCCACAATGCAATGTAAAAGGTGAGTCACTGAATGTCAGGACTAGAGAATACCATGAAAAACAGTGGATTAATGGTCACAGACACTGCTGATGGGCACCTACAATGTATAAGCTATTATTCATCCATTTTTTGCATCGAATCTTTCAGCAATCCTGAGAGGTCATTTTAAAGCATCATATAAGCATGGCTATCGCTCATTTTCAAGTGGGAAAAAAGAAATTCAGAGAGACTGCTTAGTTCACTCAGAGCCTCTTAGTGCACCCCTAAATGCTTAAATTCCAAATTTTACTTGGCAAATTGGATTTATCCCAATGTGAATTTCATTAGCTAAAAAAATCCCCAGATAAGCTGTTGTTGAAAAGATAAAATCCCATTGCATGTTTTTCAAAAAGAATAAAATTCCTATCACATTGCTCAAGGGCCTGGACCACCTCTTTAAAAAAAGGAAAAAAGAAGAAAAAAAAATGTACCATGAACTCCACAATTTTTCAATTACTTCGGTCCAGACCGGCAGCGATAAAAATGTTCACTTTCTAAAAAGTGTATTTATGTATCACTGGGCATACACGCATGGATTTATTTGGTTTGATTCTTTGGATTTATTTGAATTCTAGGGCTATTTATTTTGTGACCCCTAACTGCTTCCTGCTAGAACAACAATTTACTTTATCAAATTCATACTAGTGCTTTGAAAAGAAAGAACAGCGACACACCACAAGCATTGTGCCTGACCTTCTCAAAGTCAACACAGAGGGGCCCTGAAGGCAATAACCATCAGCCCTTGAAACTCTGTCTGCTCAAAGGAGTAAATGGGGTGAGGGAGGCGGCAGATAAACGTGCTGGCTTAGAAATGGCAACAGCAATTAGCTGATCTTTTGGGGCTGCGGAGCTGGGAGGGAAAGCTATCACCTGGGCATTAGCCATCTTCATTCCACTGCCTAAACATTTTGAAACGTGACCAACTTGGCTGCAAATAGTCGCTGAGAAGCCAGGCGTATGATATTAATAGTCCACTTTTAAGTTCCACCCATCGTGATAAAATCATTCAGCTCAGTGTCCGTGCACAGCCACAGCCTCTGTGGTGCCTGGGAACCAAAACATGGCTAGTAAACTCAGGTAGGGAACAGACCTTGAGTTCCTTAAATGTGTGCTGCCCTCTCAGGCCCCCAACTTCTATTTTTAATGGCGATCATATGATAGGCCTATAAAACATATGTTTCTAAGGACAATAAAACACATATAAAAGGGCTGTGGAGTGAGAAAGAACTGGTTTAATGGTCTCAACTCTGCTTCCTTCTACTTCTATTTCACATCAACAATCTATTTCACATCTCCAAAAGTCTTGCTCATCTGTTCAATGGGAAGGATGAAATCAATCTAGCTTTGAGATAGCTGGGATGATGACTGAGGTAATGTAGTCATTCATTCATTCATTCATTCATTTATACAAATATATATTGAGTCTTTACTATATATACTAACTACAGGGAATACAAAGATGACACAAGCCCTGCCCTCAGGAAGCTTATGATCCAGAAGGGGAAGGCACATCTGCTCAATTAAAATCAGAACTGGATGTTGCTATAGTTGGAAGGCACCAGGCCACAGCATGGGTAATGTGAGCACAGTCTGGCACATGCTATGGACCCTCAGTAAATGTTAAAAGGAAGAAAGGGAAATGTCCCACAGAGAAGGTTAGGAAAGAAAATGTCCGGTCAGTGCCTTTGCCCTCCAAACCGGGGAGCAATCCAAACCCTTTCTTCCTCCCTTGTTCAAGGCTTGGGGAGGGTTCCGGTTCTGATTATGTAGAGGATGACCACAAACAGACAAGAAGTTGGATCTGAATATGTTCTGTTTGTATTCCTCAAAGGCATTGAAATAGCAGCTGAGGAAACCCAATGGCTTTTTTTTTTTTTTTTTTTTTTTTTTTTTGTCTCTCCAACCAACTGTGGTCTGAGTGGGGTGTGATGCCAGTCCAATCTTTGTTTCAGGAAGAGAATGCTCTCAGATTTCTTCAGTGGATGGAAAAGCATAAACACTTTCCCCAATGGGGCAGCTAGTTTTCAAGAGATATATCACCTGGCTTCCCTCTCCAGGACACAGAGAAGAGGCTAGTTTTTTTTGTTTGTTTGTTTGTTTGTTTTTTCCCCCAAAGCAGGATCTCCATTTCCAACCTCCTTTACTACCAACCACTACAGTGCCTGTGCATTTCATTTCAAGAAAATTCCCATTACTGGCCACTGGGAATCTAAAAGTGAATACATCACAGGACTTGTCCTCAAGAGGTTCGTGGAATTGTGAGAAAGACACAAAAACAAGTGCACTAAAATATTCCTAACGTGTGACTGACATGTAGGCTATAGCGGGGACACAAAAGACTATGATGCTATGAGTACTAATGATGGCCCACAGCTGACACAGGAGGTTTGAGTTGACCTTATATGAGCAAGAGATTTCTGGGGTCCAGAGGCTAAGTACACTCATGAGAACTCAGTATAATTTAGGGATTCCAACAAGGCAATTAACAGAACTGATGGCCATTATGAAAATATAATTTTAAATTTAGCTACAGAGCTGGAAGAGATACATAAATAAGCACTGAAAGGAAGAAAGGGAAAATAGCATGAAGAACAGTAATAATAACAGTTAATAAACAACAATTGTGTGCCCTCACTGTGCTGAGGACTGTCACATAAGCACTGCAGTCTGACAACCCTGGCTGCCTATAATGTTCTAGGTACCGATGGGGCTGCTGAGATGAAGGAATTCACATCCCAGCTATTGGGAAGACCATGAGCTAATGGAAAAAACAGTTATGAAAACTAACACATTGGGGCCTTGACTGGGTAGTTCAGTTGGTTAGAGCATTGTCCCAATACACCAAGGTTGTGGCTTTGATCCCCAGTCAGGGCACATATAAGAATCAACCAATAAATGCATAAATAAATGGAACAATAAATCTCTCTCTCTCTCTCTCTCTCTCTCTCTCTCAAAACAAATAAAAAAACAAACAAAAAACTAGTATATTAGTAATCATCTCCAAATGGTAAGTTAGATACTTTTGCTTTTTGTTGCTCCTATTGGATGTATTTTCTAAATGTTTTACAATAAATACACATTTACTTTAAAGTAAAAAAGTTATTTTTTTTTAAAGAAAAAAAACAGCCGAAACCGGTTTGGCTCAATGGATAGAGCGTCGGCTTGGGGACTGAAAGGTCCCGGGTTCGATTCCGGTCAAGGGCATGTACCTTGGTTGCGGGCATATCCCCAGTAGGCAGCTGATCGATGACTCTCTCATTGATGTTTCTAACTCTCTATCTCTCTCCCTTCCTCTCTGTACAAAATCAATAAAATATATTAAAAAAAAAAAAAAAAAGAAGAAAAGAAAAAAAACAAACTAACATGTTAAGTCACCGTAAGGTTCAAAGGGATTAAAGTGACTTACCAGCCACTGTGCAAGTACATAGTGGAGTTGAACGGGGCTCAAATGATCTGACTCCTAAGTGCTGTCTAAAGCAAGTGAGTCACTTAAAAAAAGTGAGAAGGAAGCACCTATGAGTTAAATAAAACTCAGCAAACCTCCTGACCTTTGAAGAAAAATAATGGTTTATTTGGAACAGTCAAGACAACAGCACTGGACACTGTCCACTGAACATTCACCATGTACCCTAAATGCTTAAGATCTAATTTAATTGAAACTCTGGAGCCAATATCCCAGAACTTAGATTTATCTATAATTAAAGGTAGATTATAAGCTTTTTGCAAAACAGAACCAAAAGGGCGTACACACACACACACACACACACACACACACACACACACATCTGGTGACTCCAGATCCAGACTCAAGTATTTCTCCTTCTTTTAATCAAGGATCA